CCCATTCCCCAGGAAAGAAAAAAGTAAAATAATATAAGAATGTGAGATTAATACCCTTCAAATCCACCAACTGCAAGATCTTTTTTACTTGTACAAACAGTTTCTTTTGATGCGTTGTGTATTTTTCTTCCTGATGCTCTTTCGATGTCTTCTGCATCAACGTCATCAAACCAAATCTCATCTTCATCTCTAGAAAAACAAACGTACAAAAATTGAAAATGTCATAATTATACTTGACAATTCCTTTTTTGTCAGTAGTTATTGTTGAAAATACATGTAACAAGGAAAGACATGGGTAGGATTGGGGCATGGCTAGCCACCCCCAATCCCTTTTCAAGTACCGCCATTTGCATTGCTACGCGGCCACCCCAGACAAAAATTGCGACATGCACTTTGCAATAGACTGCTGTCAATCAAACGTTTGGGCCTTTTGAATCACAAAAATTGAATGAAAACAAAAAAAGTTTTTTACCTGTCTAAATTTTTATTTTTCAGTTTCTCATCTTGTTCTTTTCTCTTCAATGCCGTAGTCTTGCTCTTTTGTCCTTTGTGTTTGAGTCTTAAAGAACTAGGAGCCTTATCCTTTGCAGGGTTTTCCTTGGACAAAAGCTAAACAACAAAAATATAAACTGCTATAAAAATAGTGTGATTTGGGGATGTGGTCAATGTGTGCATAAGGTTAATTGTTTGTTCACTCTTCTTCCCGAGATTTTGCTTCTCTCGTACTTACCTGCAATAGTTATACGAGCGATCATCACATTGAACCAAACTTTGAGCTATGCATACTCAATTCATATTTATCACTGGAACTTTCTTTCCATCCAAAAAAATAAAAATTAGCCTTATAATTTTGTCATCTGTTTCGTGTTGTCGTTTTGGTTTAACTACGGCCTAAGTTACCCCTTATTCATTTATGGTATTTGAAGGGAGATGTTACTATATACTCCTGAGTTTATTCTTTGTATTTAATAACCTAAAGCGTTAACTAAACATCATACATCCACTGCAACAAATCCCAGCTTCGCTTACCTTCTGCAAAGCTATCCAATTTGATGAAACTTCTTCTTCACTTTTGGGTAACTTTGGCTGAACAAATACGCTATTTTTCGGCTTCTTTGGTTGAGGCTTAAATTTCTTTGTCTTAGGCTGTTGATTACTAGGGATTTCGGAAGATCTTTCCTTCTTTTTTCGCTTCATTTTGAGATTTAGTTGAAAAAGTCAGCTTCGTCCGCCATCTTGAAATTCCTACCACGTGGGTGAGCCCGCATCGATAAATTTCAGCGGTGTTAATGTAACCAAAGGAAGCCCATAAGGAAAGGAAAGGAAAGGAAAAATAAAAGAAAGGAAGGGAGTCAGAAAAAAAGACTTGACAGAATTTAAAAGGAAGAAAATGAATAGAAGAAAATGGAAGGCAATGAAGAAGAAGAGTAAAAGGTAGTGCATTAAAAAAGACGAACTTCATGCAAGTTCACAGTAAATATCACAAAGATAGTTTTATTCACAAAAATACAAGGTTCATACAGCCAATCTCTTCACTATAACATTTACGAATTGAGATGTGATCACTTAAAATATGTTGAATGTTTCAACATATATATTAGTCCACTCATTAGTTCTCATCTCAGATACATGGTTTTTATTAAGGGTACATCAGGATCAGAGTATGCTCTGGTAGCTAATGTTGCTACAGTTGTTGAGTGTTAATAGATATATTAGTCCATTTTTTTAGTTCCCATACCTAAATAAAAAAGATATTTTAAAAGTTGCAAATTATGTCAATATGGTCGCAGGATTCGATCAGGGCCATACGGATTCGTACAGCAGGGGCTCACACCATTTTTCCAAAGTTTTTTTAAGAGCGCATGCCTGGGCAGATACGGGCCATATGATATTAATCTTTATAGGCCTCTCTCCCTTAGTATATACAGTATAACTTCGACATTGTCCCCTTTTACCTAAATGATGAATGGTCCTTAACGCTAATCACCTAAACAAAAAAAAGTATACAAGGGATTCTGGTATTGGTAGTACACTGTAAATGACACCACAATGAAATGACTTAATCTACATTCGCCATTTTCCATACATCGGTTCACTGGTCAAACACAAAGCTTTCAGTCAAGGTTGCAAGGCTCAAATTTGAATAATCCTTTGAAAGTACCTTGGCGCCTCGCTTGAGTGCTTTGTGTTTGACCAGTGAACCAATGTATGGAAAATGGCGAATACAGTCCTCCTAAGTTTTCATCTATATCATTTTAGGCATTATAAACTCCTACTACCTGTCTTCCTTCCCTTCAACTTTACTGTGGTTTTAAATGTTCTGCGAGCTCGGTAGTTATATTTACAAGCTGCAGGCTGAAATTTGGTTTTTCGCTGCCGTCAATCAAAAATAATCACTTGATACCTTTTATACTCTTGACTGACAGCAGTGAAAAACCAATTTCACAACAAGCCGTCGAAAATGTCCGAGTAAGCAGAATATTGAAAACAGCAGTATAGACTATTATATTCTATGAATTGTCTTTAGTCATATATTACTCTGCAGCTGCTTGATTCCAAATAACGCTGGTTTTTCAGATACATCTTCAGTTCCATTATCTTGCTGTGGATTCTGCTCTTCATATTGCATCTCATGTAAACTTGAAGTARTACCCTGCTGCATCTCCTGTATATTCCCTTGGGATGAATGTTGAACAGTATTACTTAAAGAATCCGAAGTATTTTGATGTACCTCTGGTCTTTCCCCTTGAGTTGAATGTTCAGCCATATTTGTTAAAGCACTGGAAGTGCTTTGCTGTAACTCCTGCCTATCCCTTTGGAATGAATATTGTTCAGCCATATTACTTATTGCATCATACTTTACCCTCTGCCTCTGTACTTCAGAATCTCTCCTCATTTCATTACTATTATATTGATAACCTCTTGGCTCTCCCATGTGGGACTGTTTAACTTTTGACTCATTTCTAGAATTCCTTTGTGTATTCTGCCCCACTTCATAATCTTCTTGGTCATCATCCTCAGCACATTGAGGATTAGTTTGTTGATGATAAATCAGATGGGAAAAGCTTCTAAATCCTTCACCACAACTATTACAAAACACAGTTTTTGGTAAAAGATGCAGCTTTTCATGACTTCTTAAATGACTTGAATTTTTAAATGCTTTTCCACATTCACCACATTCATAGGGTCTTTCATCTGAATGACTACGTATATGTAGAGTTAAATGACTGGATGTCTTGAACCCCTTGGAACAAAAGTTACACCGGTATGGTCTAAGAGATGAATGAATTCTCAAATGACTGGATAAGTTACTTGAATGTGTAAATCCTTTGTTACATTTTGGGCACTTAAACGGCCGTATACCAGAATGTGTCCTGTGGTGTGCAACGAGAGAAGCAGACTTCGTAAACGTCTTGTTGCAAATCTTACAAATGTGTGGTTTATCGCCAGCATGTGTTTGGACATGGTAGCGCAAGCCTTGTCGACGACTGAAGTATTTATTACAAATAGGACATGATGTTCCGTTTGGTTGATGTTTCATTAGATGGTTCGTGAGCATTGCAGGTGTTGCACACTCCTTTCCACATAGCTGACAAATGCTGGGCTGATCATCAGCATCATCTTTAAATTCTCCTTCTTGGTTTCCCAATTCTGATGATAACGATGATGAGGGTTCTCTAACCAGAACTATTGGATCTTCACCTAACGAATGCTAAAATACATAATACAAATAAGCGTGCTTTAAAGTTTTTCTATGATTTACAACATTACTGTTATTGCAATAAAAAGATATAACTAGCTAAAAACTAGTGTGAGCTGCGTCGGTGTTTCTAATGAAATAGTAATGATGAAAAGGTAAATTATACACCCTGAAAAGATGAAA